GAGGCCAAAGAAAAAATTAGTAACACTGATCAGATTTTTAAATTTTTGATATTTTATTATGGTAATATTTTTATTACCCCATATATGATTTTTATACCAATTTTTATATACCAATTATGATTTTTTAAAATTATTGCATTAAACTCTAATTTATCTTCATTACTGAGTCTTTTGGCACACCTTATACTTTAACCCAGTTGAGTGACTTCACCTAATCCTGGCCCTGGAAGGTATCATTTTCTTCATCAGTTAAGCTTGCCCAACTCACAAGCTGCTACACATAAACATGCCATCCAAGTAAGCAGCTTGCCTGCTATGCAAACTTTCAGTTTCAAGACAAATCCTATTATCAACCTTCTTCTGATTAGTTTGTCTTTCTTCTTTTTATTTTTTATTTTTGGTTCTGGTTTTTGACCCAAGGAGTACTTTATCACTGTGTTACATCCCCAGCCCTTTTTATTTTGATAGGGTCTCATTAAGTTGCTGAGGCTGGCCTTGAATTTGTGGTCTTCCTTCTTCAGCTTCCCAAATTGCTGAGGTTACAAGCATGAGCTATTGTACCCAGCTCAGTTTATCTTCCTAAGACCTCCTACATAGCTATACCTGAATCTTCTCTGTTCATGGTGGACACAGTTGATCTCTCCTAAGAAATTAAGGATTGGGGACTGGGTTTATGGCTCGGTGGCAGAGTGCTTGCCTAGCATGTGTGAGGCACTGGGTTTGACTTTCAGCACCACATATAAATAAATAAAATAAAGGTCAATCGACAACTAATTTTTTTTTTAATAAAAGAAAGATATAGGAGTGGGGTTGTGGCTTAGTCTTAGAGGGCTTGCCTAGCATGCATGAAGCACTGGGTTCCATCCTCAGCACCATGTAAAAAACTAAATAAATAAAATAAAGGTATATTGTGTCTATCTACAACTAAAAATATTAAAAAGAAAAAAGAAAGAAATAGAGAATTGGGACCTGGGCCTGGTGGTGCAAACACATAAGTCCAGCAACTCTGGAGGCAGAGGCAGGAGGATTGCAGGTTTGAGTCAGCTTCAGGAATTTAGTGAGGTCCTAAACAACTCAGTGAGACCCTATCTCTAAATAAAATATTAAAAAAGTGCTGGGGATGTGGCTGAATGGCTAAGTACCCCTGGGTTCAATCCCTGATACCAAAAAAAAAAAAAAAGACCACAGCTGGGTGTGGTGGCACATACTAAAAAAAAAAAAAAAAAAAAAAAAGAATGAAAAGTGCTGAGGATTGTTGCTCAGTGGTTAAGCACCTCTGGGTTATATCTCTGTACTCAAAACAACAACAACAACAACAACAACAAAACCCTTCCATACTTCTATAACTCTAAAATAATAATAATAAATATCAGCTGAGTATGGTGGAATATGCCTATAGTTCTAGCTACTTGGGAGGCTGAGACAGGAGTATCCTATAAAACCCAGAATTTGAGACCAGCCTGGGCAACATAGTAAAACCCCATTAAAAAAATAAATAAAAATTGCCAGGCACAGTGGTGCATGCCTGTCATCCCAGCAGCTCTGGAGGCTGAGGCACAAGAATGACAAGTTCAAAGCCAACCTTAGCAACTTAGAGAGGCCCTAAGGACTTAGTGAGACCCTAACTCAAATTTTTTAAAAAATTTTTAAAGAGAGGGGGCTGGGAATGTGGCTTAGCACCCTTGGGTTCAATCCCTGATGTAACCAACCAACCAACCAACCAACAAAAAAACAAACAAGAAAAAACCCTGGGTTCCATATCCAGCATCACCAAACAAAGAAAAAGCCCTATACTATGGTTTAGCTTTCCTACTTCTGGGGTATACATTCTAAAAAACTGAGAACAGACACTCAAAGAGATTCCTGAACAACCATGTTCACAGCAGCTCTATTAGCAATAGCCAAGAGTGAAAGCACCCCAAAGGTCCCTTCATGATTAGATGAATAAAGAAAATGTGGTATATGGGGTGGGAGGGTAGTTTAGTGGTAGAATCCAGGCGTTAGCATGTGCAATGTCCTGGGTTCGATTCCCATCACTGAAAACCCCCAAAAATAAACAAAAAATAAAAAATAAAGTACCAAATATATGAGAAAAAAATCCATCTCCAGTATTTCATATATTATCGTTGCAATGTGGCCTGGGAAATATTATTTCAATATGATGGAAATGATTCTAAAATGAATGATCTGAATAGATTGGGAACTTTTTGGGGGGGAGAGGGGGTACTGTGGATTGAACCCAGGGGTGCTTTACCATTGAACTACATCCCCAGTCCTTTTTTTTTTTTTTTTTTTTTGAGACAGAGTCCACTAAGTTGCCCATGCCAGCCTTGAACTTGTCATCCTCCTGTCTTGGCCTCCTGAGTCACTAGGATTACAAATGTGCTCCAATGCCCAGCATTTTTTTTTTTTTTTGAGATAGGGTCTTATTATTTTGCCCATGCTGACCTAGAAGTCCTGGGCTCAAGTGATCCTTTTGTCTCAGATTCCTAAGTGGCTGAGACTACAAGCAAATACCCCTGCACCGTACATAGAGGACGAACTTTTAAAACCATTTTCCATTTTGGAAACTTCACAGTAGATAAAGAAGTTCTTATGGTTTGGATGTGGCTTGTTCCTTAAAAGTTCATGTGTTGGAAGCTTGGTCCCCAGTGTGACAATGTCAAGTGGTAGGAGGACCTTTAAGAGGTGGGGCCTAGAAAACATTTTAAAAAATAATAGAAGAGGTAGACCTAGTAAGAGATCCTTAGGCCATTGGAGGTGCTGTCCTTATAGGAGAGATTAAGATAGTTTTCTTGGGACCCTGAATTAATTCTTGCCAGTGTGAGATGTTAAAAACAGCTGCTTTCCCCCCTCTGGCTTCTTGTCTCATTATGTAACTGCTGCCTTTCGCATGTGTTCTCTTCATGATGCCACCTGCTATATGGGATGTAATAGGGGGAACTTTGCAAATACTGGTACCATGCTGTTTGGACTTTCACCCTCCATCCAATACTGTGAGTTAAATAAATCTCTTTTCTATACAAATTACCAAACTTTAGGCATTTTGTTACAGTAACAGAAAACTGACTAATAAATAAATGAAAATTAATGCCACACAAAGCAATACTGTAAATAAAATTGTGTAACCTGGGTTGGGATTGAGGATGTCGCTCAGTGGTAGTGTGCTTGCCTAACATGTACAAGGCCCTGGGTCAATTCCTAGCACTGAGAAAAATAAAAGCATAAATCTTTTATATCTTTTATGGTACACATGCTCAATTAATTTTTTTGGCAGAGACTAGAGATTGAACTCAGGGTATGCTACCACTGAACAATGTTTCTATTACTTTTTATTATTTTTACTTTATAACAGTGTTTTACTAAGTTGTCCTAGCTAGCCTTGAACTTGTGATCCTCTTGCCTCATCCTCCTAAGTGGGAATTACAGGCATGCATAATCATGCTCCACTAAATCATATATCTTAAGACAAACATATTAATAGAAATAATAATAATAACAATAAATAATAATAATAATGCTACACAGTAGTGTATTAGAAAGAATATTGTCTTACACAGAACCAAACATTTTAGTTTTTTTCTTTTTTTTTCTTTTTTTTTTTTTTTTGTTTTTGTTTTTGTGTGTGGCTGGTATTGAATCCAGGGTCTTGCCCATGCTAGTCAAGTTCTCTACCACTCTCAATCCCCACAAAACATCTTTTTAAAGATATCATTCATATATTATAAAATTCACCCATTTAAATTATTTTAATATAGTCACAAAATTTTACAACCATCATGACAATCTGAGTTTAGAATATTTTCATTCCTCCAAAAAGGAAACCCATTATTCTTTGGCAGTCACTCCCTATTCCACCTTCCCCAGTGTTAGACAACACTAATCTAGATTGTCTCTATATATTTGCCTATTCTTGTTTTTTCATACAAATGGGACCATAAAATCTGAAGCTTGCCAAAAGTCAAATAATAAATGCTGTTACAGTTTGGATCTGGAGTGTCCTCCAAAGAGTCATGTGTAGAAGGCTTGGTCCCCAGTGCAGCAGTGTTCAGAGGTGGGACTTTGGGGAAGTGATTAGATCACAAGGGCTCTCACCTCATCAATGGATTAATCCATTGATGGATTCATAGCTGAACAAACTCCTGGAAGGTGGTGGAAACTGAAAGAGGTGGGACCTAGTTGAAAGGAGCAATTGAAGGGAGCAGGTCCTTGGGGGCATGCTTTTGTCCCCACCACTCTCCTTCTCTCTCTCTGCTTCCTGGCCACCATGAGGTGACCACCAAGCTCTTCCACCATGATGGAAGATGTCTCACCACAGGTCCAGAAAAAGAAACTATGAGACAAAAGAAGTCTTTCCTCCTTTAAGTTGTTTTTCTCAGGTATTTTGTCAGTGACAAAAATCTGACTAACACAGGGAATGTCACAGATTGAATTAAATGTCATTCGTCTGTGCTTTTATAGCAGCCTCTGCACATATGGGTTCTTTATCTTAAGGTTTCTTTATCCCTGCCAACCGTTCAGTCATTCATTAATTCATCAAACTATTCATTCCTCCATTTAAAAAAAAATAGATTATCATGTTTTAGGCACTTTGGCTAGAGCTAGGAATATAGTGTCAAAAGGACCTAGTCACATCTGGGACTTCACTGAGCTTGTATTCTGGCAAGGTGTGTGTACAGAGTTCAATTAAATGAATATACGCTGTGGTAGCCATGAGTACTGGGAAATAATCAGTGGCTAAGACAGCCTGAAATATGATTTTGAAATAGATAAGTATAATTATGGATTAGTGAGGTGGGCTAAACAGCCTGTGATGTTTGACATGTGACGATGGATAGCTTGGCATATTATATTAGTTATATAAGCCCTCAAATTTAGTGGCTTAAGAACAAACATTCAATATATCACAGTTTCTGTGGCCCAGGGATGTGCAAGTGGCCTAATTAGGTGATTATTCTTCAGGGGTCTCTTGTGTGATTGCCATTAAGTTATTGGCTAGGGCTGAAGTCACCCGGAAACTTGAAAAAGCTTCACATGGGGGATTTGCTTCCAGGGCGGCTCATTCACATGGCTGATGGCAGGAGATCTTACCTCACAGGTCTCTCCAAAGAAGCTTCCTCAAGAGCAAGTGATCCGAGAGAGCAAAGAGGACACAATGTCTTTTATGACCCAGTCTTACAAGTCACTCCTTATCCTTTCTACCACATTCTATTTCTTAGTGGTTATTCATTAAAGCTACTCCATACTGAAGTGGAGGAGAATTAGGCTTCAACTATCTGAAAATTTGTAAACTTATTTTCAAGCCAACACACCTACAGGGAAATGGCAGAAAAGATCAGCGTGGCTAGAATTCGATTGGAGGAAAGAGGCTGATGACTGAAGAGAAGACTGGTAAGTGATAGTGCTGGGAAAATTAGCTGGGGCCAGATTACTTATTGCCCTACTCATTTTATTCTGTAGTTTCTATTTAAGGGCAAAGGGGAGCCATTAAAGAATTAATTAATTTATACATACATACTGGGGATTGGACCCAGGGGTGCTTAACCACTGAGCCACATTCCCAGCCCATATATACGTTATATGTTTAGAGACAGGGTCTCGCTGAGTTGCTTAGGGCTTTGCTAAGTTGCTGAGGCTGGCTTTGAACTGGCAATCCTCCTTCCTCAGCCATTTGCCACTGCAACTGGCCTTAATTTTTATTTTGAGATAGATTCTTGCTAAATTGGTTAGGACCTTGCTAAATTGCCTAGGCTGTCCTCAAACTTGCCATCCTCTCTTCTCAGACTCCCACATTGCTTGGATTAGAGGCATGCACCACCATACCCAGCTAGGTTGTGAATTATAACTCAATAAAAGTATTTTTAAAAACGTTCTTCATTTGGGCATGGTAGCACATGTCTGTAATCCCAGTAACTCAGGAGGCTCGAAAGTTTGAGGCCAGCCTCAACAACATAGTGAGACCCTGTCTCAAAATTAAAAATAAAAAGGGCTGGGGATATATAGCTCAGTCATAGAGCACCCCTGGGTTCAATCCTGGTACCAAAAAAAAAAAAAAAAAAAAGGAGTAAGAGAAATATATTAAACCATACATATCAGCCATTTGAAGTATTCAATTTGGGCTGGAAGTATAGCTCTGTGGTAGAGGACTTAACTAGCATTTGAGAAGCCGAGTATTATTCCCAGTGCCACACACACATATAAAAAAAGCGTTTAATTCAATGGCTTTTAGTCTATTTGTAGAATCATGCATTTATGACCACAATCAATTTTAGAATGTTTTCCTCATCCCCCTCAAAACCCATACCCCTTATTTGTTACCCCTTGTCACCCAACTCCATTCCTTACCAATTATCATTCTACTTTGTTCTTATAGATTCAAGTATTCCAATGGCTTCTTTCACTTAGCATAATATTTTTCAAGGCTCATTCATGTTGCAGATTATTATTATTATTATTATTATTATTATTGTGGGATTGAGTCAATGGGAACTCTACCACTGAGCTATATCCCAGCTCTTTTTATTTTGCCCAGGCTTGCTTTGAACTTGTGATCCTACTGCCTAAGCCTCCTCAGTTGCTGGGATTGTAGGTGAGCGCCACCTCATCTGGCATAGAATAGGCTAGTTTGAGTAATTTCAATGGACTCTGAGGTTTAGGGACTTCACCTATTTTTTTGGTATCCTTCCCTGAGGGTGATTAGGGAAGGGAAATGTGGCCTAAGTGTAAGAGCGCTCTAATGGATTTGTGTAGCTTATCAATGGGTTGATTTGCATATAAAAGTTATGCTCAGAGGCAAGTCCTTTGCTATCTTTGGGAATTGGCTAATCTTGGGAAGGGCAGTCACTCCAGAATAAGCAAGTCCCCCAAATATTAAAGCATCAGAAGCACATAGCTAATATTAGTTACCCTGGTGATTAATGATGTTGAACACCTTTTCATGTGCTTATGGTTTATTTAAATATTTTCTTTTTAGCAGTGCCTTTTTAGATTCTTTGCCCATTTTTAAATTGGGTTATTTGTTGGGGGTCTTTTTTGTTTGTTTTATTGATTTTTGATTTTGTTTTACTGGAGATTGAACTCAGAGTCTTGCATGCTAAAGTGTTTGTAGAGCTACATTCTCAGCCCTTTTATTTTTTATTTTGAGATGGTTTTCCTAGGTTACCCAGGCTGGCCTCAAACTAGTGATCCTCCAGCCTTAGTCTCCTGAATAGCTGGAATTACAGTCATGAACCACCATGCCCAGCTATTTGCATTTTTATTACTGAGTTGCAATAACTCTTAGAGAAGTAAGTCCCTTTTAGTTTTATGATTTGCAAAATTTTCTTCTATGCTGTGGATTGTCTTTTTGCTTTTTTGTTAGTGTCCTTTGAGGCCTCAAAGGAAGAGTTTAATGGAAAGTGAACTAGGAAGATTAACATTTTAGAAAGAATATTTTGTTTATGGTATAGATAATTATGTGTGGGTAAGCAAGACTGGAGAAGAGAAACCAGTTTGTAGGCAGTTGTGGTGATCCAAAAAAAGATAATGATGGCCTAGAATAAAGCAGTAGCACTGTTACAGAGAAAAACAGAGTTGAGTAGGAGCTAGAATTTCTGGGACTTGAAAATTGATTGCCTACTGATAAAGAATATAAGGCTTGTATTAAAGAAAGAGCTATCATGGATGAAGCCTGTGTATCTTTGGCTTGGACAAGTTAGAGACATAATGCAACTGTAATTAAAAAAGCACTGGAGATATGATTTTCTTATTGATTTTGGCAGTACTATGGGTTGAATCCAAGGTCCCACACATGCTAGACAAGTACTCAAGTATATAAATTTCTGTGTGTGCAGGAGGAGTGTACAAGAAATAGAACCCAGGGGTGCTTTACCACTGTACTACATCATCAGCCCTTGTAATTTATTTTTTATTCTGAGTTAGAGTCTCACTAAGTTTCTAGGCTGGCCTTGAACTTTGTGATCCTTCCGACTCAGCCTCCTGAGTAGCTGGGTTTATGAGCATGTGCCACCCCCTCCCCCAGCTAAATATATAAATTTCTAACTTCTTTTTTTTTTTT